GTAATTATTATGACTGACTGAAGATACAGCCAAGTCAAGAGCTTCGGTCACATTTTAAAAATCCCAAACATCTGTGACACCAGAAGTAACTCAGTCACAACCCTTCCTTGGCTTTCATCAATTTCCACTTGGAAAGAACTGGCTACACCTGTTTAAAAAGAGGCTGACAGCCAGAGGCTACCTCTTCTAACTCCGGTTAGYTGGGGCCTGAGTCTTCAGATAATGATATGCTAGGCCCATGCTGGAAAGYGTTAAACCACATTGAGGGCCTCTGCAAGGTCAGAGATGCCTGGGTGATGCACACAGCTCCTGTGTTTCCCAAGTATCTCCCTGGGCAAGTGCATCTGATTCATTAGCGAGATTCCAGTGAGGCCACATGACACTTTTGYCAGAGCCTAGGGACATGTCACTGGTGGTTGTGACTGACACATCCCCGAGGGGTGATAACAGCCTTGTCCTCACGAGTATTATCAGCCGTCTCTCCAGACTTATCAATGTTAACTTCTCTCATCTGACTCAATACTGTGGCCTTGTCTTCACTGGGCTCACATCTTTTCAACCCACCGCCCTCCCTCTGCTACCCACAGTGTTATCCTCACAGTCTGTCCATATCTTTTCACCTACCGTATCTCTCATCACATGCAAAAGCCTCTTCTTTTGCCCAAGCTCTGACGCCTTTTCCTCACGCTGGTTTTTGGCCTTCACAGATAACAGTACCAGAAAATGAAACAAGGAGCACTGCTGTACCTACCACGGTATTGAGACACCTTCGTGCCTTCCTTACTCTGTGTTGACTTGGATGTTGGCAAGTTATTCCGAACTGCCTGTGGGTGAAGCTCTCTGTCCAGAAGCATTTTCATGCCGTGCACTCCTTGTGTGCATCCAGGGCACAAACACACCAGCAAACACACTCTCCAGGCACCACTCCACTTCAGCCTAGCACAAAACACATCATTCTACAGATGAACCCTACCAGTTATGAAGGAAAAAGGGAGATTGATATTGGTCAAGACCCTTTCTTTGTGATTACTTCATTGAGACATTATCTGGTCTGCACCCTTGCTACTATATCACAGACTATCACATTTGAAAAGAAATATGATTGAAAAATGTTTTAGATAAACAATCACCATTTCCTGATTTCTTTAGCAAATTTTTACGAATATATGGAGATAGGCAGAAAAATTGTTCTCTTCCTTCTTCTTTTCTTCTTTTCCTTTCTCTCTCTCTTTATTTTCTTCCTCTTTTTTTCTTTTTGATTCTTTCTTTCCTTCCTTTTCTTCTCTCTCTCTCTCTTTTTCTCCTTCACATCCTCCACAGAGCAAGCATTATGAATATTTTACTAGAGTAAATACGTGGCTTCTCCTGGTGCATTCATGAATTTGGGTCATTGTTCTCTCCACTCAGTTACATTATTTGTACACCTTCTACAATTAATAGCTTTTTTTTTCCAGTGATTTGGATTCCCCTTCTGGTTCTCGAAGGAGCCTGTTTTTGGCTAGGACATTTCCTTTGGTTGTGAATAGCACCAAAAAAAAAAAAAAATGCAGAAGAGTCACCAACCGTTAAACTAGACAGTGCATAAAAACAAAACAAAGCAAAAAGTAGAACTAGATTCTGAAATTGCAAACTCAGTTTCAGTATTCAAATGCACTTGCACTACAAGGAAGAGAATCTTTCTCAACACAGATTCTTGAAAAAAATGCATAGCATTTCCTTTTTTACTTAGTCAATATTTAGTGACAATGCAAAATTGGCTTRTCTATAAAATGAAAAAAAAAAACAGCTATTCCAAGTATTGTACTGAGGATAAAATGTATGTTAACAGTAATGCTACCTAACATTGCTTTGGGAAAAAAAAAAAAAAAAAAGGAATATTATTTACCCTATAGATAAAGACACCTCAGAACCAAGCTAACCAAGGTAACCACAGGTATTCAATAAACAAACACACCAAATGTGAACTGGTCTTGGAATTTCCAAACAGGGAGAACATCAAAGTTAAGCTAAGTCTGAAATTAATTAAACTTAAAAGAATAAATAACATTTGTTGACTAATATGTCAGATTCTCTGTGGATTCCTAAATTCTGAGCAATTCAGCATGCAAATGAGAAATAAGGAGGAGGGAAGGAGGCAGATGAATAACGGTGGGAAAGGCAACTATAAGGCAATTCAGGATGCATTCTGATGAAGATTGAGAAAAGAGCATTTTACATACACATGTAAACTAAAGTGCCACTATGAGTCAAATGTAACTCCTCCTAGCTCAAATTCTACTTTCAGATCCCTTATGTCCCACTGAAATAAAGCTTGTTCCAAAAGTGAAGAAAGCTGAATTTGGCTCCCTGGCTGTATTAGTAATTTTGGTTGGAGGGCCAGAGTTAACCAGTAATGCTCTGTGAAATGCAACATTAACAGGCTGACTTGTTTGCCATTTCTATAACACCTAAAAAAGATAAAATATAACACAGCAATAGCATAAAAGTACCAAACATAGAACTGATGATGAGAATAGAGTAAGATGTTTGCCATTTCATGCTTCATGCTTCATTTTCATAAGAATATCATGAACTGACAGCACTGCTTTCTGCTCTTCTGTGTTAATATCAAATACTAAAATCAGYAAAGTTGCAAAAGAAACTTGCAGCTTTGCTTGCTATTTCCATAAAATCTGTTGAGGCTCAACTCTTCTTGTACCATGACAGGTGTCTCTGGAGGGGTGGATTGAACTCATGCACTCCTATTAATTCCAGGGACTTTGAAAGGAGTTGAGAATACCTTGCCACTTGAGGACCTGGGCCAATCATGAACAAAACGTCATGCTGTCAATAAGGACCAACCCTCAGTTCAAAGCTCCCAGAAGTGCACAGAGAGTTACATTTTGCAAGTGGAGGACTTGGTCCCATATATTGCTTCCTTAGAAAGATAGAGAAGGAAAGAACAAAAAGAAAAAACAATACAGGGAGGGGAAGGGAGCACTGAGGACTGTGCTCTGACTGCTGTCTGGGGCAGGAGGAGGGCAACCTCCTGTCTTGCCTTCATAGTACCTGATACTTCACCCAACTAGGCTGTTTTCTAATGACAATAGCTGTACTGAATCTAGATTTCCAGGGTCCTAGGATAAGCAACATTTGAAGCAGAACATTGCTGTATTGGCAGTCTGAAGAGTCTGAAGCCTTAGGAAATATTGCTGTTCTCTAAGACAAAAACAAGCCTGGCCTTACCACTTAGAAGTAGTCGCTAGGTGAAGCACATGACATATTTCAAACATAAACACAGTAAAATTAGCAATTTTGTCAGTTCTGAAAGTCGAAAAATGCAGAGACTGGTGATTTCACAAGAGAAGTGACTTCCTCAGAAGCTGATCTGTTGCTGGATGCGCTGTATGACCACAGCCGCATCTTGCATTTCAGTATCTGTCCATTCACTTTGCCATTTTGCCTTATAGGTTTTGGGTAAAACATAGATCACTCAGGATGGAAAAGCAACTAGAAGTCAAAGGTATACACTCCAAGGTGACACATTCAGCTTCCTCTGCAATAAATTGTATTTTTGTACACTGTCAATGTTGGTGATTCTGGCTTGATGATTTACTCTTCTTCAGGGTTGGAAAAGAGTTTGTTTGTGTGAAGGAAGCTACCACATATTAGCAGGTATATCCCCCCTCCTTTTGCATCTGATGGGAAAAAAATAATTGTGCAAGTATCCTGTTCCACATCCTCCGCTACATTTTGCAGAGCGGGACACATTTTGGAGTGTCTGTCCATGAGATAAGCGTGTGAGTTGAAGGAGGTTCTGAATTTGACAGTACGTGTCCTAGCCCCGGATTGCAACAAGATGGAAAAATATTTTTGCTGACCAGAGCAAAAGTCATTCTTGCACAATAGCTGCTGCTAGATTCAGTAATAGGGAAAGATAATATAATTTTGCTAACTGCATTGCACTTCCTACTTGAATATACTTGACTTATCTGAATACAGACTACTTTTGTTCTTGTTTTTACAATCCACTTATTTGCACTATTAAAGTCAATTAGAGATAAGAGTGGTCTAAAGGGAGGGGCAAGGTCAAAACGGCCTCTCAGTTCCGAATATTATGTCCTTTTCTCGGCAAAGGTGGCAATGAGCCTGTGCCCATCCTTACCCAGAGTTTCCAGAAACAAACAACAGAGAACATTAAAATGTGTCCTTGCTATCTTGCATAATCACATTCTTACTTTAAACTCAGGAAACAAAAATACTGTTAGTTGAGTATGTGGGATATACRTCTGCTTTTGTTGAATCTGTACCAGAAATAACATAGCAGGACAGCAAATCAGTTGTGCTACTCAACATGCTGAATCCTATCCCCAAACATCTGAATGTAGCCCATCTTTTGGAAATCTAGTTGGAGAAAACAAGACTTCTTAAATGTAACCAAACAGAGAATGTGGACTCTGTTCTAACTCTGCTAATGCTTTAGATTTTAAATAGAGATCTGACATCAAAATCCATCCCCACACAGCGATAATGAGTGATTGGTTTACAGCTGGTTTCTCTTCCTGACATCCTTCAAACTGAGTGACTAAAAATATGCCAGTGAGTGTGCATGGGGTATMGTTTAGCAGGAGGGCTTGCAGGTTATTTGAGAAGATAACCCMGATTCAAAGCTTGCACCTGCTCGGGTCACAGCCCTGCGGTGCACAGACATGGTTCGCAAAGACCAGCCTCGTTCAAGCACCTTGCAGCCTGCGATGAACCAGTCCAGAGGAACCACAGCCGCTCATCCTCACCAAAGCCCGCCAAACTTCCAAAATCACACTTCCCCTTTCACACGGTGGTGGGTATGTGGCCAGGGGGAGGCTCTGTGTGCAGCTGAAGGCAGGGAGCGAGGCATGGGGCTGGGCTTGGCCATTCCCCAAGAGACCCTGCTGCCGGGCCCCAGGGATGACCATTTCACCCACGAGTGACTGGAGATGTGCACCATGTCCCCAAGGGAGAGAGGACACATGGAGGGGACCATGGCTCCCTGCAACCCAGACAGGGTAAGGGGAGGCAAGGCGGCTACCTGAGATGCAGTGGCCTGTTGCAGGACAGGTGGAGGCACTGTGGTGGCCCATAGYGAGATGCAGGGGCCCACCAGAGGCATGGTGCCCTGCATCAAGCTGAGGGTAGTGTGGAAACTCCCGTGGCAGCCCATGGAGAGGTGAGCCATGGCATAGCAGCCACTTGAGGTGCAGTGGCCTCTGTGAGCTGAGGTGAGGCATAGCGTGACAGCTACATAAGGTGTGGTGGCCATAGGGAGGCAAGGTGAGGCACTACATGGTGGTCACCTAAGAAGCATTGGCATGGTGAGGCAAGGTGAGACACAGCATGGCAACCACTTGAGGCATGGTGGCCATTGCAAGGTGAGGCAAGGCGTGGCATGGTGGCTACCTGAGAAACCATGCCCATGCCATGGTAAGGTGAAAAACAGGATGGTGGCATGGTGGCCAGAGCATGGTGAGGTGAGGCACAGTGTGGCAACCATCTGCGGGTAGGGGGCCACAGTAAGGTGAGGTGAGGCACAGTGTGGTGGTCACCTGGGACAAGTTGACCCACAACAAAGTGAGGTGAGGGGTAGCTTGGAGGCCACCTGAGGTGCAGCAACCATGGTGAAGCAAGGTGAAGTGCAACTTAGCAGCCCCGAGGGGTGGTGGCCCAAGGCGAGTTGAGGCAAGGTGTGGTGGCCACCTCAGGCATGGTGGCCACAGCAAGGTGAAGCAATGCACATCCCTGCAACCACGTGAAGTGTGGTGGCCCATAGACAGTGAGGTGAGACACAGCCTTGCGAGCACTTGAGGCATGGTGGCCGCAGTGATGGCAGGTGAGATGCACAGGAGTGACCGCCTGAGGCATGGTGGCCCCCAGCAAGGCAAGGGGAGGCAGTGTGGCAGCCATCCGAGGGCAGGTGGCCACAGGCAAGACAAGGTGAGGCGCAGCCTGGTGACCCCCTGATGCACAGTGACCAGAGCACAGTGGGGTGAGGCACAGTGTGACAGTCCTCTGAGAGGTGGTCAGTGCATGGTGGGGTGAAGCATGGTGTGACAGTCCCCCGTGGGGAGATGGCCAGAGCACAATGGGGTAAGGCACAGTGTGGCAGTCCCTCCAGGGGGAGGTGGTCAAAGCACGGTGGGGTGAGGCAGGGTGTGAGGAGGGGTGCAGGGGGGGAGGCAGGGTGTGAGG